GTTCTTGAGTTATCCTCTTTTGAATATTTTCAAACAGATAGCCCTGCAGTTCCTGAACAAGCCGCTAGGGGGCCCGAACTCATGTCACTTCTTCCCCAGCATGAGAGCTACCTACCATCCAATTTTCGTCACCCCAGCATGTCTAGATCATGAGATATCAAAACCGGAAGTTTAGCTGCAGTACCATAACAAGCCGCTAGGGGGTCCAAAATCTAATAATTTCCAGGTCTCATTAAGACCTACCCACCTACCAAATATCAAGATAATCCATCTAAGCTTTCTCGAGTTATGCTGTTGATAGACAGACAGACACACAGACAGACACACAGACACACGACCAGGAAAACATAACCTTCTTGGCGAAGGTAATAAATCTACATGTATAGAGAACGGCTCATCCTAACCCACCTTAAGAGCTGTTACAATAACATTCTCATGATATGATATGATATGATATGATATGATATGATATGATATGATACGTCATAATGCCAAATGTAACAGTCTGATACAGTGCAAGTCACAGAATTGTCAAATCTTGTCCTTTAAAGGTGTTGCATAAATATGTGAGAAAGCTATCCTCCGTCTATAAACAGCAAAGCGAATCATGTGATACATTTAGCACTCTGCATTTAAACTGTAAAATTAAAGTGTAAAGCTGCAACAGCAGGAGATAGAAAACGAAAAGGCGCGACCCCTTTAATTTTCAGGCGAATGCAGCTTACATAAAACAGACATGAGTTTGTGTGTGTGTGTGTGTGGTGTGTTTTGAGTGTGTGTGTGTGTAGTGTGTGTGTGTGTGTGTGTGTGTGTGTGTGTGTTGTGGGGGGGGGTGCAGGCAGCCAGAACTACAAGATACAAGAATGGTGGTAAATCGTCATTATTACCTTCGCTAAGAAGGTTACTTTTCAGTAGCTTTTGTGGGGGGGGGGTAAAGAAAAAAAGTGAAAGTTTAGCTGATTGAAGAGCTAATCTTCCACTGGCGTGACAGAGAAGACAGACGCTATGTACAGTATCTACAGGTTCATTGTACCGGGAAATTCCCCTAGCTCTTTTCGACAAGCACAATGAACAGTGGATCACGGCTAACGTCCCGCCCTAAGGACTGCGATCCTAAACAGTAGCGTGCATGTCGGGTGAGCGACAACAGCCGGGATTCGAACTCCCAACCTCTTCGTCCAGAGGCAGGATCGCTAACCACTGGATTACTCACGCTACGTTAAATGGTTAACATAATTTGGCGAAGGTATGAGATCGTAGAAGTCTTGTTTTATTTGGCCAATGTTGTCTTGGCTTGTTTTTAGTAACACATGGTATCATCGGCTAGCTTAACTTACCTTAACGTAACTTAGCCTAACTTAGCACAATGGTCACATGATTGAATGATACCGATTCGGTGGGGACAGACGTCATGTCGATAAGGACGGTAGCCCTGACCACATCCGCTTCTTGTTTAAATCAAACCGCCGACTTCACCCTGGTTTGTCTCGGTGTCAGCCCTACAGAATAGTCACAAATGACTTGTAACCTTTGATTGGCAGTTTGACAGTGAAGACGACGGTGTGTAATGAGGCAAGCACTAATCAGGACCTCAGAAACCCCGAAACAGGGCCACGACTGAATCCGGTTAATCTTTGACGACTCCAGGAAGTTCAAAGTCGACGACAAGACTCTTCAGCTCTTCAGAATTTACACAGAAAAGCTTTCAACCGCAAGGAGGCCTTTTACATCTGACACTCATCCACACCTACTTCAATACCTCAACGACTGCAAATTATTGTATTGATATAGCTCTAGAACCGAGGTGACGTGAACTAGTTAAGCTACGCCAAGAACAAGACTTTTTTTAAAGATCGTGACTCAAATAAACCTGCAAACAGGGCGTGCCAGAAAAAAACATGAGACCAATGACACCTACCCTGGGACCCAGTTGTCCTTCTGCGTGCATTGAAACATGTGCAGGGGCTTTGAAACATTTTGTAACTGTTTTGTGCCGAAGTATCATTTGCTAAGAAATGCTTCATAAAAACGGACCTAACATTTGTCATTAAGAGTTTTGTGGTGCCGTCACAAACGTGAAGACGCCTAGAAGTGCTCATTAAAGCCGCATCCGTTTCCGTGAACAAACATGTATCATGTGAACGACATGTCGTCTGGAGAGTATCTGCTCTCTCAATGAATGGTCTTGATATCCATCGCAGTAGAAGAACCATTTGTGGATATTATGACCCGGGTTTTGTGCGTCGTGACATCCTTTATCCCAGGATAATCCCAAGTTCACGTCTAATGAATCTAGCAGAATCTTCCCAAAGCCTACACAAATCAATGTCTTACTCAGACGTCTTGTGGCGGATTTTCTACAGCGCCAGCGTTCCCTGTTTCTACTCTGTAAGAATTATGTATGCATGAGGCCTATTGGCCGGGCGTGCTGCCACTAATTGACGACAGCAGTGCGAAATTCTCCCGATCAATCTGGTACTGACTCCTTGATCTTTGCCTTATGAGATGACCTTAATTGGCGCCGTGGCAGAAGATGGTAGGAAGTCTATGGCAAACGGCATACACATGTTTAATCGTTTATACGTTAAACCGTTGCACTAGGTATTGAAATCTACGTCGATGAAGGCAAGGTCAAACATCCAGGTAATAGGATACCGAGATAACAGTTACTCCGTATCCCGTTACCAGTTACTCAAGCAACTGGGGAGATTTTGCAAATAGGTGTTTCAGGTAGTATCCACTACCTATCCTCAGTGAATGATTGATATTTAATGAATGAGTGAATGAATGAATGAATGAATGAATGAATGAATGGATGAATGAATGAATGAATGAATGAATGAATGAATGAATGAATGAATGAATGAATGAATGAATGAATGATGACCACACTGGTGTTAGTACAGGTCACAACAAAACTCGATGAACAGATGAAGTTAAAGGTACAGAGTGAAACTGCAAGTAACTACCATTACATAAATTCAACTTCTCGCTTTTCAGTTATTGTAGAAATAACAGAACAATCTGTTCCTTGTCTATAATGAGCACAATGAGCACAATATCGTGCCACCCCCATATTTACTAACATGCGAACTGATAGTGACTGATTGAATTAATTAATTAATTAATCAATTAATTAATAAATGAATGTCAGAATGAACGAAGCTTTAGTAACGTGTTTTCCGCTTCATGTGCCCAGCCGTGTGGGCTGATAAGACACAACAAGAATACTAGAAAGGCCGACATTTGCTGAGGAGCAAATGCAGCATGGCTTCACCACATCCCCCGCACCACATCCCCCTCCCGCACAAATGGGCTGTT